GGCCCCATGACCGACCAGAAAAAAAAAAAAGTCAGACTAGTATTTGAGGAAGATGAAAGGCAGCTGTGGAACTGTCATTCTAGTCCTGGCTCTGCTATTATTACCTGTGTGGTTTTTAGCTGATAAAATACCACCTCAGGTGTATTCATGGGGATGATGTGTCTAGTAGACTATGAATCACTCCTGGCTAGTTGTCCTGTGTTAGTCATGTTTGAACAGCCTTTCCCATCGTCCTCTTCTCTCTCCTTCCTACCAAGGAAGAGGAACAGGAGAAATAGCACTGAACATTTAGTATGCTAAATGGGGCGCTGGACACTGTGATTTGGTTAACTGCAGATTTATTTCTATTTTTTTGGTTGTGGGGCTTGAACTCGGCCTAGGTGCTGTCCCTGAGCTCCTGGTGCTCTACCACTTTAAGCCATAAAGCCACTTCTTGTTTTCTGGTGGTTAGTTGTAGATAAAGTGTCTCATGGACTTTCCTGCCAGGGCTGGCTTCAAACCTGGATCCTTCTGAGTAGGTAGCAGGTCGCCTCCAGCGATAGCATAGACACAGAATTGTAAACAGGCATGGTAGATGTGGTGCTCTAGGAAGTTCTGACATGCTGTTCCACTCATGTTTCATCCTGTTAAAACCTTTCCAAATATTCTAGCTATTGAAGGCCATGCAATATGCTGACAGAGGGGCTCCTGGGCCCAGAGATCAGAGTTAGAGGTCCTGGTGGCAGTGTCAGGATGAGCAGGAACGGTGGCTTCCCTCTCAACCGCTCTCTATAGGACACTCAAGACTGCTCCTGGGAGTCCTGGGCCTGTAAAGTGGCCCAACCGGACTGGGAAGAAAGATGCCCTGGAGCCTGCTGTGGGTTACTCTGCTCCTCCCAACCCCTATGGGCAGGAACGGCTGTGGCACCGTGGGAACGACCGTCCCACCTGCCAGTGCTGACCCACACAAGGGTCTAGTCCTTTGGGCCCCACACCCAGCTAAGCCGAAGCTGAGAAGTGTCAGTGCACTTAAAGTTGAGTCAGCAGAGAAGGGATTCAAGGGCTAGAGAAGAAGCTGGGGGTGTAGTAGCTCGGGTAGAATGCTGCAGGAGGCCCTGAGTTCCATTCCCAGCTCCTCTCTCTCTCTCTCTCTTTCTCTCTGTCTCTCTCTTTCTGTGTAACAGCCAGGACCAGACAAAAAGAGATGGAAAAAAGAAGTAGTTACCAAATGCCTTCCCAAGAACCAGATCTAGCTTCCCAAAGACAGAAAGGCCACCCTTTCAGCATGAGCTGCAGCCCCCAGCTGGGGATAGGGCACAGATACATCTCCTAAGGATGAGATGAGCGCAAAGGAGTGGCAAAGGAGTGGTCGCTGAATCCCGGGAAATCAAGCCCAGCGGGGATAGGGATTTACCTAGGTCCTTTTTTTTTTTTTTGTCCCGTCGTGGGGCCTGAACTCTGGGCCTGAGCACTGTCCCTCAGCTCTTCAGCTCTCTTACCACTTGAGCTTGAGCCACAGTGCCACTTCCAGCGTTTTTCTTTTAGCTTATGTGGTGCTGAGGAATCGAACCTAGGGCCTCAGGCATGCAAGGCAAGCGCTCTACCACTGAGCCAACTTCCCAGCCCTATCTAGGTCCTTTCTGTGGACTTTCAGCACCTACCTCCGATTCCTTCGGGATTCTTGCGGGCAAGCAAATTCCTTGTCCAGGCCCAGCCTCCATCCTCAGCCGAGGGAGCCACCCAGCACCCCTCCCTCTCCACAAATACTTGTGGAGCGTCCAACCACGTGCCTGGCGCTGGGGCTGGTCTACTCCTTCCCTCGGGTGGCTTACCATCGAGAACGGGTGCTGGGAGGAGGAGGATGGGTGAAAACGACAAACACGGGGCTGAGCATACTAAGAAAGGGCCATAAACCTGATGTCGTTACGAAATAAACCGGGGCCCAAATCCGGTGTGTTTGGGTGGGTTTTGATGGTCAGAGGTGAGACGCAGGCACTAATGGCAGATGAGAGGCTGAGCCCGTGCTCCGGGGAAAGGACGCAGCCGGGGAAGGCGCCCAGGCCCGGGGAGGCGATCGCGCCATCCCGGGGACCCGCGCAGTCTCCGGGGCGGCGGCGCGGAGGGGGTGGGGAGCGGGACCTACACGTGCGCTACGTGCGGCTCCGGCCGCCGCCCCCTCCCGGGCGGCTGGGGAGGGGGGGGCCGGGCTGCCCGCCCCTGGCCCCGCAGCTCAATGTCCGGGCTGTGCGTGGAGGAGCCGGGTGGGAGGGGAAGGCCGCGGCCCTCGGTGGACCCCACGAGTGGTCCTCCCAGCGCGGGGCCCGGGCGGGCGCGGGGAGCGCCTCCGCCTGGAGCGGGCGGATTTCGGGCAAGGCTGCAGATTTGGGGGTGCAGGTCAAAAGGTGGGGGCTGGCAGGCTGAGGACGTGAGGTGCTGGGGCTGAGTGGGGACTTGAAGGGGACCCTGTACAAGTGTGTTTACTGGGCCAAGAGCCGCACAAGTGGGGGTAGTTTGGGGGACGGAGGCCCGGGCGGGGGCGGAGTGTTGTCCAAGAGTAAGGAGGGGGTTCCTGGAGACGTGGCACTCGGAGCGGGGCAGGGTTCCGTTCGGGCCGCCGCGGCTGCGGCACCCTTTTCCCCAGGGATCCTGGCCATGGCGCCGCACAGGCCTCGCTCCGGGACCCCCAGGACCCGAGCCGCGGCACCTCCGGCCGGGGTAACCCAGGTCCGGCCTCCGGGGCGCCCGGCCGAGCCCCGGACCAGACAATGCGGTCCGGGCCCCGCCCCCGGACCCGCCCCGGGCCCCGCCCCCAGACTGACGCGGCCAATCGCCGCCCGTGGCCAGGCTCTTTAAAAAAAGAAGGGCCGGTGCCGTGTGGCTGTCAGCTGGGAAGGATCCCTCCGCCCATGTAAACACACATCATAAAGGGCAGGAAAACGTCTTCCGAGGGCGGGGGAGCAGCGGCCTCCCCGCGAGCCTCGGGGCCCAGGCTTCCCGACGTCACGTTGGGCCCTGCAGCTGCTGCCTGGCCTGGGGGCCACAGTGTCTGGTCCCCTACAGTCACTACCCGAAATGGAGGAGACGACTGGGAGACTTCAGAAGCCAAAAGGCTTCCTAGCAGATATACCTGAGAACTGAGTTTTTTTCCCAGAGGTTTGCTCCTCTTGTGCCTATCAGTTAAATAAATCATAATTCATAAATGTCTAGGATTCTCCTCAAAGTGGTATCTGTCTGGCTTGTAAGATGCCAACTGCAAGGGCAAAATGCTCTTCCAAGAGAATCAACTCTAGCAAGACTCAACAATGCTGGTCCAAGAGTGACAGAAACTTCTCTCCTCCACATTGTCTATAGTAGGGAAATATGTTCAATTAAGCAAAATTAAGTTTTTTACAATAAGTTATTCTATACCAGCTACCTAGATTTTACCACCATATTATGACTTACTGTATCTCCATCGATTATATATATATAATATATATATATAATATATATATATATATATTCCCCCCTCCCCTCTTCTTCTTCCTAATATACTGACAGCTCTGTTGCAGTGGGAAGCAGGAAAAGGCTTGTCTAGGTCCCAAAGCCCTGGAGAGCTTTGGAAAAGGCCTATCTTCTCCAAGGATCACTGTCAAATCTTTGGAGGCCAAGTACCTCTGGGAAGTGTATAGAAGAGGAGATGTTTTCCTTTTCTCCCTCCCTCCCTCCCCCTCCCCTTCTCCCTCTTTTCTCTTTCAATTGTTGAGTCCTTAAGAATGCGAGACTTTCTTCCTCTAGGTGGATCTGAAAGCCAGGCTAAAGTGCCATTGACCCCTCCTTACAGAGACTGACAATCTTTCCATGAGTTTGGCTGCTTTCAGAATCAAAGAGGTCTTTTCAATGTTGAAGATGTACCTAGACACAAAACACTTGAAGCATGCCTTATATACAATACCACTGCAAAAATAGTGGGTACCACTCAGATTCTAATAACTGCTTGATTTCTATTTTCAGTTCTGATATCTCTTCATATTTATACTTTTCAATGCCTTGAGGATCTCCAGCTGTATGTACCAGAGACACCTCAAATAGAAGTGAAAACAGTACATTATCTTCTTCTCCAGGATGAGTGTGTGTGTGTGTGTGTGTGTGTGTGTGTGTGTGTGTGTGTGTGTGTGTGTGTGTTTAGGGCTTAACCTCTGGGCCTAGTCTTCTCACTTGGCTTTTTTGCTCAAGGCTGGCGTGCTACCATTTGAGCCAGGTCTCTACTTCTGAGTTTTTGCTAGCTAATTGAAGTTGAATCTCTTGGGTTTTTCTGCCCAAGCCAGGCTTTGAACTGTGGTCTTAAAATCTCAGCCTCCTGAGTAACTAGGATTACAAGTGTGAGCCACCAGTAGGATGACTTCTGTTCCAGCATTGCCAATGGGGCAACTTCAACTCACATAGGTGTGCCAGACACCTCAGTCCTAGTATCTCCCAGTTCCTTCCCGGTGGGTCCTTTCCTAATGGTATTTCCTACATTTGCGTTCTTCCCTCCCGATCATCAGCACTATGGCTTGTATTTAGGCCTCATCATCTCAAATCTTTCGCTCTTCTCTAGTCCATCCTTGTCGCGTGGCTGAGGACTCTTCCTTGCAGCACCCAAACTGGTCTCCATCACTTAGTGGTTGCGTGGATTTGGGCAGCGCTTTCACAAGGTGGTTGTGTAGACCTATCTCGCAAAGCAGTACCCCACAGAGGCAAGCAAGTGCTTCCAAAGTGTTGTCCACCGGGTAATCCTCCTCTGCTTCTCCCGGATTTTACTAAGAGCTTACTACTACCCTGGCCCTGCGTACTGACAGGATTAAATTGATTGCCTTATGGGTATAATCCTTTACTAGACTTATTAACTTCTGGAGGACGGGAGCTCCCACCCTACCGGGGTCGATAAACGTCGGGATCACTCCATCCCCACGCCGAAGGCCGAGCCCCTCCCGACTGGAGGGCGGGGATCGGGCGCGGGGGTGGGGGTGGGGTGGGACTCTTTTTCCTCGCCGTGGCGGCGGAGGCGCACAGCGTGGGGGCAGTGAAGAGACGTCGTCGTCGGAAGGCAGAAAAAGCCCCAGGTGCTGCCGTTGCTGGTTCGAGTCGGACTGGTGGCCCGCCGCGTAGCGCGTTTGCCGGGGTCCGGGACGGAGCTCGGAGCTCGGGGCTCGCTCGCCGCCCCCGCCCGCCCCGCGGAGATGGAGCCGACCACCGCGCCGGCCCCGGGCCCGCGCCCGGCGCTGCCCCTCGGGGGCCCCGGCCCGCTGGGCGAGTTCCTGCCGCCCCCCGAGTGTCCGGTCTTCGAGCCCAGCTGGGAGGAGTTCGCGGACCCCTTCGCCTTCATCCACAAGATCCGGCCCATCGCCGAGCAGACCGGGATCTGCAAGGTGCGGCCGCCGCCGGTGAGTCACCACAGCGCCCCGGTTGCTCGCGGGGTGCGGTGGGGGGGGGGACGCGCGGCGCCCCGAGGCCGGCGCGGGGGGCTGTCGCCCCGCGGCCTCCAAGTTTGGGGGCTGTCGGGGGGCGCCGGAGACGGGGCCGCGGCCGGCAGGAAGGGGGGGCTGCTCGGGGTGGGCCTGAGGAGCGTGGGGTCGGGCGCCCCGGCGGCACCCCGCGGCCCGGCCCGGCCCGGGTTGGGGTTCGGCTCGGCCCTGGGTGGCTGGGGCAGGCCCGGTGGGCGCGGGGTCTCCTCCCGAGCCGGCGGGGGGCGCGGGCGCGGAGGGCGGCGGGCCCGCGGGGCTCCGGGCCGGCCCCGCCGCCGCCCCCGGGGTGCGGGGGTGTGTGACGGGTGGGGGTGGGGGACTTGCGAGTTGTCGTGCGAGGAGGAAAGTTTTCAATATGGCGGCGGGAGCCCCTGGTCCTTTGTGTGGTGGCGGCGTCGGCCCGGAGCGGCCCTCACCTGGGCGCCCCACCCTCCGGACCGGGGCGCCCCCCACCCCTTGGTTCCCCCGGCCCGCAGGGGTCCCCCTGGGCCGGGGCCGGGGAAGGGGCTGCGGGCGCTGCCCGGGGGCGGGGAGGAGCCGCGGGTCCGGCCTGGAGCGGATGTAATTGCTGGGGGACAGGAAGGGGGGTCGCCAAGATTTGGGGGGCCACTTTGGGGACGGCGGGCCCCGAGGTCTCGGTGCGCGGGCCCACGCGCCCATCGCGACTTGGGGCCAGGCGGCTCCCTCAGGAGGCCCGACTGGGCTACCGGGGACCCGGAGACACCGTGCTGCTAAGATGTCACCCCGTTTTTCCCCTCGTCCCCATCCCCCCAACCTGCCGGGGCTGAGCCGCGGTCACCCCCGGAGCCCTCGCCGCGGCCGGAGCGCTCGGGGCGGGGGCGGGGGGCTGGGAGGGAGGGGTGGGCGTCGGTGAAACGGTTTGCAACGGCCCCAACGTTCGCTGGGGGTCGGGGGGGGTCCGCGGGCGGACTCGTGCCCTGCCCCCGCCCCCGCCCCCCAGGCCCGGCCGCGAGGCGCTGGACGCCCCTGGGCTCTGCCCACCTATGAGGGGCCGGGCTGAGTCCGAGTTGGCCTGCAGGACGGTTGGGGTTGGGAGGACGTTTAACTGCCGCTCCCCTCCCCCTCCCGAGTGGGAGACCCCCCCCCCCCCCCCCCGCCCCGCGGCCTTAAACTTGCTCTTTGTAATGACGTGTTGAGTCGCAGGGGTTGGGTCTCTCGATCATTCCGCCCCGGGAACGCTGTTTGGAAGGGAAGCCCTGAATCAGCCCGCCCCAGCCCCTACTCCACAGCATTAAAGTGGACAAGTTTGAGGGCGGAGATGCTGCCTGAGGAAATAAGTGGTCGGCCAGTGGCCGGGGAAGGAGGGGGCATATGCTGGAAAATAGGCCCATTGCTGGGGCGGGGGGACTAGGTGGACCCCTGTTCTTGGAGGGACGGGCTTTGGAGGGGAGAGGCCTGCAGAAGTTAGCGCGGGCTGCCCAGCCAGGGCTGGGATTCTTGAAGAACATCCAGGTCTCCTTCCCCAGCCCCGCAGCTTTCTCTGATCACACGCTAGGAAGGATGGCCGGGCATAACGCACGTTTGCATTAATGGGATTCGGTGAAGAAATTAGGTACTGGAGGAAGTTCTCAGTGACCAAAAACGTGAGGAGTCGTTGGGTTCCTGGGAGTTGTCCTCCATGTCGGCATTGTGGTGTGTACAAGAGCTGGGGTAAACCCCTTATTTGGCTTTCCCTGCCCTTTAGAGAGCCCTTTTCCCTAAGAGATAGCGGGCTCCTGTTCCGTTTGGCTACACATTTCCTCATCTGGGCTAGCAGGTTAATGGGGGTTCGCAAGATGCCCGGTTGTGTTGCCTTTTCCCACTCTGTCAGACAGACATGATGGCCACCATTTTGTATTGAGAATACTCCATACTACAGCCCCAGGAAGGGGGCAAGGGGAGCAAACAGTCTACAGATAGAACCTGGCCGTGTTTTGGAGACCTCCTTTGTGTGGAGGGGGCTGGCTTCCTCCTTTGTTTAACAAAGTCCTGTGCCAAATGGAAAGAGTTGGAGTATTTGCTGTTGATAGAGCCACAAAAAGGGAAATCTTTCCAGAAGTTGTAGCTCTTGAAGAGAGGGGCCTTGGAACAAAGGCTCCTTAGAAGATGTAAACAGTCTTTGTTTTAGAAACTGTTTGTTTTTAGGAAATCTGTGAACAAGTGGTTTCATAAAGTTGAAATATATAGCAACAAATACACCCTTTTAAGAGGTGTGAGGTATTTTCCATGGTGGAATAGCTTAATATGCCTGTTTCTAGATGATTTTTGTTCATTGAGTTTTTGGAACACCAGTAGCTGTACTGAAAGGGGAATTGGGCTTATGGTATTTTTACTTGTTCATGGGTAAGGGGGAGAATTATAAAACATTTTTGCTTTCTTTTGTTCCTACCTTTGTATGTTTAGCTTCCGTTTATAGCTGTGAGGCTGCTTGGGAAAACCCAGGATGTTTACATGACTGTGCAAATGATATAGAAAGGGTTCACAGAAATTTGCGAAAATATAGGAAAGTAATGAGTTAAGAAAACCACTTAATCCCAAGGTTAAAGAGTAATAAACCTTTGTTTCAAATCACATGAAGCATATAGGATAAGAAAGCAGTTTTCTGAGCTGAGACTTTTGTAAATTTAGCTCATCTGGTTTCTTGTATTGTTACCTTTAATTTCCTCCTTGACATCTTACTGTTGAAGGACAAATGGCATTTTCCTTATTACTTTGTAGCATTGGGAAATTTTAGGGCTGTAACTACAAGGCCAAAAAGAAAAACATTGCTCAGTAACTTTCGTTTTGTGTTTGATAGGAATGAATATGTATATTCATTGTATACATATACACACACATGTATATGCACATACATAGGCTTTAATAACTTTCCTGCCTTCATGATCTTAACATTTGGCTGCAGGTAGTCAGTTTCCACAGATTTCTTTGTCACTATTCAAAAGTGAAAGATTTAAATCTGTCACTTTTTTTTTTCTACCTAAACTTCTGGTGGTCACCATCTTGATCCCTTCATCCTTACAACCCAAGTGTAAAAGGCTTTGTTTAATACAATCAGCATCTTTGAGTAGCTTATTGGTTTGTGTTTATCCTTAGGGATCAGGGAGGAACGTAAACTCTTTTCTGTTTACAGTGGAGAATTGATGATGTGGATCTCATTTCTCTGCCTGTCATTCAGCCTGTCGTTCTCTCCCTTGGCATTGTCTGTGGTAGTCTTTCAATATTGTTAGTGTCATAACATCTTGCTCCATGTGTCATTATTCTTTGGTCATTTGAAAAATTTAGCATATGGAGGTTTATCATTAGAAACATGTGAATTAGCAGGGCACTGGTGGCTCACGCCTATAATCCTAGCTACTCAGTAGCCTGAGATCTGAGGATTGCGATTGAAAACCAGCCCAGGCAGGAAAGTCCATGAGACTCTTATCTCCAGTAAACCACCAGAAAACCAGAAGTGGCACTATGGCTCAACTGGTAGAGTGCTGGCCTTGAGCTGAAGAGCTGAGAGACAGTGCCCAGGCCCAGAGTTCAAGCCCCAAGACTGACCAAAAAAAAAAAAACAACAACAAAAAAAACCCCCAAAACAACAAAGAAACATCCAGTTTATAATTTTTTTTTTTTTTGGGTGGGTGTTGGGGCTTGAACTCAAGGACTGGGTGCTGTCCTGAGCTTTTTCTTTTGCTCAAGATTAGCACTCATCACTTGAGCCACAGCTCCACCTTAGGCTTTTTGGTGCCCAGGCTGGCTTAGCTGGTGCTGATTGCTCATGTCCATAATTCTAGCATCTCAGGAGGCTGAGATTTGAGGATCCCAAAAAGGGAGCCTGAGCAAGAAGGTCTGTGAGACCCTTAACTCCGATTAATCACCAAAAAGCCATGATTTTTTTTTTTTATGCTATAGCAAAAAAGCTTGGGGACAGCACCCAGACACTGAATTCAAGCCCATGACTGGCACAACTAATAGCTTTCTTGAAATAAAAGTGATAACTATACAGGGCTGGGAAGGGGGCTCAGTGGTAGAGCGCTTGCCTTGCATGCATGAGGCCCTGCGTTCGATTCCTCAGCACCACATAAGCAAAAAGAAAAAAGCCGGAAGTGGCGCTGTGGCTCAAGTGGTAGAGCACTAGCCTTGAGCTGAAGAGCTGAGGGACAGCGCCCAGGCCCAGAGTTCAGGCCCTACGACCGGACCCAAAAAAAAAAAAAAAAAAAGTGATACTATACAATTCATCAATTTATAGTATACATTCAGAGTTTTCAGTACTTTCACACAGTTATACAATGATTATCACCATAAATTTTAGAACATTTTCATCCCCTCTAAAAGAGTACTCTTGTAACCACTTAAAAAAAAATAGTATGGCTATGTCATCTAGGCTGGCCTGGAACTCATAATCCTCCTGCTTCAGCCTCCTCAGTGCCGGGATTACAGGCATGTGTCACCATGCCCAACCTGTTTCACTGCTTTAAAAGATAAATTTACTAGGAGCATACAGCCCAGGAGAAAAACTTGGGTTATTGTTATTTTTTTTAGAATGTATTATTACTGAGGTGATATACAGAGGGGTTACATTTACATGTGTCAGATAATGAGTGCATTTCCTTTCCTACAGGGTCGTCTGTTCCCTCATTCTCCCATCCCCTCCCTCCCATCTCCACCCACAAGTTGTGTAGTTCACGTTGATCAGTGTGCCGTGCCTCCTTTGCACGTTTCCACCCTTTTCCCTCTGAGCCTCCTCCCACCCTCCTGCAGGTGTGCGTGTGAATACACTGTATACAAGGCAAAGAATGCAGAATCAGAAAAAAATTAGTCTTTCAATAGTTTTTATTTGTTTCAGTATATATATTATTTTATATAAATATGAAGAGGTGCTTAGGCATTACATCTTTGGATTCTCTCCTAAGACTATTCTCTTTTGGTCTCAC